AATGGGAAAAACACATTAAATTAATGAACGAATATGTCTGTTAATTAACTAGAGAAGCCGTGCCAAAAATATCTTTTAAATATTGCCACAGTTCTATCATAATGGGAATAGGTCACCTTGCTAAGCATAGCATTCAAAAAGTAAGTAAGATTTATATAATTTGGTTGTTGCTTCAATATAGGACATATGGCAAAATATAGATTATAGTTAACATTTATTAACTTTTATATAAATAATATAACGCTTAATGCCTATGAGTAAGGGTGACTTGCGTGAAATATATAAGGTGTTTGTCTAGAAAGTTTACTTATTTTTATTTTTTTAACTCTACTGCTATAGTCACATTTTTTTTTTTTTACATCTCTCTTTACTCACAATACACAAGTAGTGCAAAGATCACCATAACAAAAGAACACATATGACAATCAGCAGTAACATATTATGGGACATAGGCAAAAATATCACTAAATACTGAGGATCGTGTATTTTATAAAGTAATATTAGTAAAAGTAAAAGGTAGATAACCGGTATTCAACTCCTGCCTATTAGGTTTAGTAGAGGAACATAAAAATGTGGTTGATTATTTTGGTTTAAATAGTCAAATTAAATCTGTAGCTATGATGTAGGGCAGGGGTAGGTATAATTTGGCAGTCCTGATATTGTGAACTACATCTCCCATAATACTCTTACAACCATAATGCTAGCAAAGCATTAGGGGAGATGTAGTCCTCGACATCTGGAGTGCCAAAGGTTGCCTACCCCGACTTTGGGGATTATTATATATTTTTCAACATTACAGAAGAAGACAAAATAAATGGCTGGACTGTTCCAGCCAATCACACGTCTGAATGACATGTCAATAGGCCCCCACAACCCCACCACCACCACTAATAAGAGTGGGTTGTTTTTAATAGGGATCAAATGACTGTTTACATTTAATGTGTTTATTATAGTTTTCAAATCCCATTCATCTCTGTCAACAGGCTATTTTATTGAATAGTGTGTACAGGTAATGCTATGAAGAGCATCAAATGAGAGATCCCTGACTTGAGGAATTGAACAGCTCAGTTTCACGAGTTTATTACAAGCTGGTGAATTAAATCAGTTGTATACAGACTGATAGTTTGTAGGATGGTAGAAGAATATATAGTCCGTAACCAAATTTATATACGTATGTATGTATTTATATATTTATGTATATATTTATGTACATATTCCGTACATATTTATTGTTTTGTATAGGTTAGTAACCATGTCATTGACTGTATACTGTTACACCTTTATTCAGTTTTATATAGTGCCATATACAGTGTCTTTGGCACAAACAACAGAAGTGTGTAATGTGGACACACAGCCAAGTGCAAAATGAAAAATAAAAATAAAAAAATGAGAAACTTATAGTGTAGTAATTAATACAAAATACAAATATACATATAGCAAACTGACAAATTGCTCAAAAAGAAGCTAACAGCTCTTTATAAAGTCTGTCAAAAACAAACAAACGCGTTCAGCGAATTATATTGGCATGTGAACTCCAAGGGGACTCTGATCTACGCACGGTGAAGTTGATTTCTATCCTTCGAATCCATTGGATATTACCTGTTTATGCACTTTACCATCTGTTGGGACTGTGAATAGAAGGACACTGGATCCACAGCATGCATTCTATCAGAGATAATTGACCTCCTAGTGGGCAATGCGAATATAGCTCAATTCTTTTTTGCAATTTGCCTTGTGAGTGTCAGTTTTGTTATATGTACTTCACGTTTTTCTTTTTCTTTTTTATTTCCTCAATCTATTATTTCCATCATATATACAATATCTGAGAGTTCTCTAATCAAGAATTCTAAAACCTCTTGCAGGTAATATTTAATTGCACTGATTTTACAGTTGGTTGTGTGTACGCACTTCTGTTGTTTGCGCCCGACAAACAACAGAACAAACAACATTTATTTATTTATTTATTTGATCACAGATTGTATTTGGAACTGTAAGACGTGATTCGGTCTTTACCGTTTCACTATATCAAGGTCACACTTTTGTATGTTGTATAGAAACAGATATAGACAGACTGACAATAAATAAACATACAAACAAACAAACAAAACAAAAAATTATATTTAAAAAAAATCATAAACATAAAATGTTTATTTCTACGTTAGTAACACAACCATGTTGGTGGATACAATGTGGAAACAATTTTGTAATGACTGATACTGCAGCTTAACAATTCAATGTGGTTTTTAGTTCTACCACTAGGTGGCTCCAGTTGATACAACTCGTGTATTTTACTCTGAATTTGAGAAAAATGTGCTTCCAAGCAACAGGACATGACCTAAACTCATATGGACAAGCTTTTACTGTAGCTTAGGTTTAGTATGCTTAGTATTATTGTGTTAAGTAAAAAACAACAACTTTGTAGTGACAGTAGAAAAACTGGCTCAACGTTACAATATTCCATAGTGTTGTCATATGTCATATTTATGTCTATCAATTTTTACAATTTCCACAAAAAATCAATAAAGTTGAACGTTGGGGTCTATTCCTTAAGCCAAAAAGTGTAGGTAATTTCTATTTATTTTTTTTCTCCCGACTTGACTGTTTTTGCTTAAAATTTGCAATTCATTTGTTAAATATCCAGAATATTTTAGAGGGATACTTCAGTGGCCAAATACAAAAAGAAAAGAAAAAATCACTGTTAAGCAGATATACCCCAATGAAAATATTCATGCATTTAATTTTGCATTTTTTATTGGGGGTATGTCTGAAACAGCATGTAAAACCTGCATTTCTCTTGTCTGAAACATTTGCAAACCCTCCTCTTCTAACCCCGCCCAGACTTTTTGTGTCTGTCCAATCACAGACTTCCCAATGCAGCTCAATGAGAGGTCTGTGCAAGACAGGTGCTCTGGGCAATTGCTGCCTTTTGAGTTTAGCTCCACCAAGCTAACCAAAACAGGAATTGCCTGTTATAAATGTGCTAATTTAGATTGAAATACGTACTTTATCTAAAATGGAAAAAAAATAGGACACACTCTTTGCACATCTTCACAAATAACGCACTTCAGCAAATTAAAGTCCATTAGGGGTCTGGAGTGTTTAATACTTTAATACTATATTTATGTTAATATCTTGTTATCATGCAGATACATGTATTTAATGTTTTCACCTTGGAGCAAGTAAATGCTAGCAGTCAAGATGATTAAAAGTATTTATTGTTTTTTTATAGGTTAGTAACTATGTCATTGACTGTTTACTGTTACACCTTTTATTCAATTTAATTTGTACGTATTACATATATTGTTGGTTTAGTTCTTGAAATTTTTTTATTTTTTTTTAAAACACATTATTTGATTATGTACATATGGATATATAATTCCACCCTCCCCCTTTACAGGTATTATTTATATAATAATTTGAAAAGTTTTCAATAAAAACTATTTGAAAAGATTATTAAAATGTGTAAGGTTATTTACAAGGGTTGCATAAATGCAGATACTACTAAACTTCTTGTCCTCAACTAAGACAAAGATCCCTGGACAGAATGATAAATTAACTGATAAATTAACTGCTTCTAACCTGTCTGATTGCATGCAGCTGGTTTGAGAATTTCATATACCATGTGCGAGCATCAGCTTGTTCCTAGATGTTTCATAAATAGAGAGTTTGCCATTTTTTTAAAGCTGGATAAAATTGTCGGACAGTTATCCAGTTAATATGGGGGATTAGTTTGTAGGCCCCTACTTCCTCCACTTTATGTGAGGCAAGGTGGAGGACACCCTGGGTTACGATCAGTGGCGTACACACAACCCATGGGGCCCCGGTGCAAAAACTGATCCGTGGGCCCCACCGCACACTTATTCTGCGCAACTCAGGCTGCACAATATGGAACAGAGGCAGGATGCCCATGATTCCAAACTAGTACAGATTTTACGCCACACAGAGGACCTCGACAACCGAGGCAGGAGGAATAACCTCCGGGTCAGAGGGGTACCAGAGGCACAAGGGGAACTGGAAAATACCAAGGACGTTCTCCAGGCCCTCTTCAATAACATACTGAAGCGTGCCCCGGACACCCCGATATTAATGGACAGGGCGCATAGGGCGGCAAGACCCAGGGGGCTACCACAAGAGACTCCCAGGGACATAATATGTAGAATCCACTACTATACACTAAAAGAGGACATACTAAAGCAGGCGAGGAATTCACCGGCCTTAACTATGTTTGCTACACAGATCCAGATATTACCAGACTTGGCGTGGCAAACGCTCCAGGGGAGGAGGGCCCTGAGGCCTCTCATCCAAGCCTTGCAAGCCAAAGAAATCCGCTACCGCTGGGGCTACCCCTTTGCTCTGATCGCCTCACATCAAGGAGTACAACATAGCATCGCAACGATACAAGATCTACCAGATTTTTTAAAGGCGTTTGACCTACCACACATGGAGATCCAGGACTGGTATGATCCCGGGTCCCAAGCAGCCATACAAGCGCAACCGCAAAGAGCCAGGTGGAGAAATGCAGCGGAGAGGAAACGGACACCTGGGAAACGGCTTCCCTTCACGCCAACTTCAAGATCAAGGGCAGCGGGACGAGACACGGGAATGGGACTCTCTACACCCTGAAATTATGAACTACAACTCACCCACCCACCTAACCACCCACCGCAAGAGAGACTTATTTCACCTCAGTGACCTTTTAAGTCCCCGAGAGTGGTGTCCCTGGTTCAGGACAGAGACTCACTACAACTGGATGCTACTCCTAACGGAACGACGATGACTGGCGTTGCTACCTTAAGACGCAAGTATTGTAAACTACACCAGCTGATGTAAAGTGGGACATAGGCACACATAGTCTACCACACATTAACACCGGAAGATAGTTATGGGACTGAGGCTTTCAGATAAGGGGGGAGCCAGGTCCAACTAGCGGGACGAGCTATTTTACATCTATCTCAAAAAGGAAAAAATAGAAAAAAATATATATATATATATGTCTATAGATATTAAATATTGGCTATTATTAATCTTAACCACATTGATTTAGATTTAAAGTATGGTCCGGCCAAGCGAGGCCCCTCCGTGACACGCCTCCGCACTAAGGGTGGTTGTTACGCCCGATAGGGGTAAAGGGGAGAAAGCATTTACACCTCTCAATAGTATAGCACATTGGACGTAATGATTTCTTGCTGTACATACTATGCGCACTGCTCACTCAGGCTGTTTATTTATTTTTTTTCTCCCGACTTGACTGTTTTTGCTTAAAATTTGCAATTCATTTGTTAAATATCCAGAATATTTTAGAGGGATACTTCAGTGGCCAAATACAAAAAGAAAAGAAAAAATCACTGTTAAGCAGATATACCCCAATGAAAATATTCATGCATTTAATTTTGCATTTTTTATTGGGGGTATGTCTGAAACAGCATGTAAAACCTGCATTTCTCTTGTCTGAAACATTTGCAAACCCTCCTCTTCTAACCCCCCACTTTTGTGTCTGTCCAATCACAGACTTCCCAATGCAGCTCAATGAGAGGTCTGTGCAAGACAGGTGCTCTGGAAAAAACTTTTAAAATAATATAAAAAAGGAAAAAAAATACAAAAATTATAATAAAATAAAAAAAAAATAAAAAAATAAAATAAAAAAAATAAAAAAAATAAAACGAAACGAGAAAAAAAACAAACACCCCAACCTGTACATAGCGGTGCTCAAAAGCCATGTTTTGCAAGGATAATCAAAAGAAACCCATGTACTCCATTTACGGCGCTTGGCGGCGCTATAACATAAGCGTAATTGTGAACGGTCGCAGAGACCAGAAATACTGACTGACACACCACCGGAAAACAAATACGACTGAAAGCCACATTTCATTCTAGGATTACGCTAAACGATATACACAACACCCCAAGTAACCGAATAAGGTTACGAGCGGTGCACTGACATCTTTCACTCTGACAGACATCATTTCCCGATTCGGCGATTAAGGCCGACGGTGACTGACACTAAGCACCGACTCCTGCATAGTTAGTTAAATACTAACGGATATACGTGGCCCCTAGATCTAGGAGTCACATTTTTACAAGTTCGCTGTTAAAAAGTTTTCTTACATCTAAGTTTAGATATTCTGTTGCTTCTATACCTTATATCGCACACACCGCCGGGCATCTACGCCCCACAACGACACGACTTTACCATGGACACAAGAGGTACCGCCACAGCAACGGTCAATAAACACGTACCTACCATAGATACTATAAAAATACTCTCATACAATGTCAGGGGACTAAATTCTCCTGAAAAGAGGAATATGGCACTGAGGGACTTTCAACGAATACAAGCCGATGTTGTTTTCGTGCAGGAGACGCACTTTAAAGGACCCACGGCACCAAAACTCACCAATAGACACTACCCCCACGCGTATTACAACAATTTCACACATAGCAAATCCCGCGGGGTTGCCATTCTGATAGGAGCCAAGATACCATTTGTGTACAGCCAACATTTCGCGGATGATTCAGGCCGCTATGTTATACTACAGGGACAGATTAGCAACTACCCGGTGACCCTGGTCAATCTATACCTTCCAAACACACGACAATGTCACACCCTCCGTAAAATCTTAAACAAGGTTCAACAACTTACATCAGGGACCTTAATTATAGGGGGAGACTTCAACGTATCTCTAGATGCTCAAAAAGATAGCACGGCGCGACACCCTAACCATCTCCAACCGACCAGAACGCAAATTAAACGACTACTGCACGGCCATCAATTAGTGGACTGCTGGAGGGCACTCCATCCCACCACGAAAGACTACACATTTTACTCCAGACCGGCCTCCACATACACTAGAATAGATTACTTCATCACCACACACAGAGACCTTTCACTCGTAACCTCGGCAACAATCGGCAACATCACCTGGTCCGATCATGCCCCGGTTCTGATACAGCTCAAAATTCCTACCCTAGCTCAGGGCACAGGCCAGTGGAAACTAAACACCACTATATTGCATGACGACACGGCTAAGAAAGCTATTGCCGAAACTATCTCCCAATATTTCCTAGACAATAACACACAAGACACAACCCCTTTCCTCCAGTGGGAAGCACATAAGTGTGTAGTGAGGGGGGAACTAATAAAATGGGGCTCCTTTCTAAAAAAAATGAGAATTAAGAGACAGACAGAGCTATTGACAGACATAAAAAACTTAGAAGAGGCGCATAAGGAAACCATGTCTGAATCCGATCATCGCAAACTTCTGTCCCTTAGGTCCGAACTAACAATTCTGCTACAATCAAAGGCTAAAAAATCACTGGTTTGGACTAAACAGTTATTTTATGCCCAAGGGAATAGGTGCGGCAAACTCCTAGCAAACGCACTAAAGCATAAGCAGGAGAGAACGTACATCCCCCAGATTAAAACAGCAAACAACAACATTGTACAATCAAACAGTGAGATAGCAAAAACATTTAGGGAGTTCTACCACTCACTCTACAACCTAACGAGTACATCACAGGACAAGGATAGGATCAAGGCATACCTGAGCGATAAATTCGACAAAATACTACCCCAAACACTGGCCAAATCCCTAGATGAGCCCTTCACTCTCACCGAGCTCATGAACGCGGTTAAAACCACCCCATCGGGCAAAAGCCCAGGTCCAGATGGCTACTCGGCTACGTACTATAAGACGTATCTGAAAGAACTAGGCCCACACCTTCTGGAGGCGATTAACTCCATAAGCCCTGACAAACCCCTCCCTAAACCGAGTCTGGAGGCCAATATTACTCTTATTCACAAGACTGGAAAGAACCCTGATTTATGCGGCAGTTACAGACCAATCTCGCTGATTAATGTAGATATCAAAATCTTTACTAAAATGTTAGCATTACGATTGAAACCTATGCTCCCAACCCTGATTCACCCCGACCAGGCGGGATTTGTCCCCTCTAGGGAAGCCAAAGACAACACCACGAAGATCATTGCCCTGATACACGAAGCTCTCAGCAATAAAGCCCCTTCCATCATGTTAGCTATTGACGCGGAAAAAGCGTTCGACAGGGTGGATTGGAGTTTTCTGTTGTCGACACTGGAAACACTAGGCTTTGGGAAAAGGTGGATGCAGTGGGTCCAGGCAATCTACTCTCACCCCTCGGCACGGCTTAAAATTAATGGGATACTGTCCGATCCGTTCCAAATAACGAACGGCACGAGACAGGGTTGCCCCCTGTCTCCGTTGCTTTTTATCTTGGGATTGGAACCCTTGCTAAACGCGGTACGGAACAGGCCGGGTGTAGAGGGAATAAGGGTGGGTGCACATCAGTACAAAGTATCGGCATTTGCAGATGACTTACTTTTTACACTCACTAACCCCCTAGAATCTCTTCCCACACTGATGGACCTCTTAGACGAATACAGTGCCCTATCCAACTTCAAAATCAATGTTGACAAATGTGAAATACTGAACCTCACATTACCAGACAAGGACAAGACACGACTACAAACGCGATATGCATTTCAATGGGCAACAAAGTCCATCAAATACTTAGGAGTCAATATAACTCCACGCACTAAGCTATTATATGGTGCTAACTTCCCACAAATCTTAGGAGCTATTAGTGCGGACCTGGAAGCATGGAATAAACCACACTTCCGATGGTTTGGGAGGATAAATATTTTAAAAATGAATGTACTCCCCAGACTACTATATCTATTAAACACTCTCCCAATCGCCATCCCGAGAACCTTTTTTAAGAAAATTCAGGCATTATTTACACAGTTCATATGGGCCAAAAGACGTCCAAGAATAAGGTACAACATACTAACGAGACCTAAGGAGTTAGGGGGGGTGGGCCTGCCGGACATCTGGCTATACTACCAGGCCATACACGTAGGCCGAATCATAGACTGGACATACCAAAACGCCTCCAAAGAGTGGGTCACAATAGAACAAGTTCAGATAGGCGACTCATTAAAGGCAATTCCATGGCTGCTGACCTCGGGTAACGACTGGACGACACTAGCACACCCGACGATAACACCAACCCTACAAATATGGAAAAAAGTACGCAGCTACCCAGACATTGCCCCTACACCATCTCCGAAATACCCTATAACGAACAACCCCCTTTTCATAGCAGGGAAAAGGGGCTTCCAATTGAAACCAATGAGAGACGACCAACGGAAGGCACATCTGACACTAGACGAGGTAGTGAGAGAGGGGGGAGTGACGCCAATCACACTATTGACAGAAGGGAAAGACCCATCCCTTATGCAGAGATTTCAGTACGCACAAATGCGACATTTCTTGACTGCACAGGGCTTATCACATTGGACTCCAAGGGACAGGACCAAATTTGAACTACTATGCTCGGGAGAAAAAACGCCTCACAAGCCAACATCCCTCTGCTATAAACTGTTACAAACCCAGACGAGTACTCAATTACCGTACTTTACCAGATTATGGAGGGACCACTTAGGCAAAGATTTAGAAGCAGGAGACTGGAAGAATATCTTCCAAACGATCTTCCACGCACACTCTAGCATACCACTACAGGAGATTAACTATAAATTCATCTCCAAGTGGTATACCACCCCGGTGGATGTTCACAGATTCGACTCCAACTCATCACCAATGTGCTGGAGATGCAACGCAGACAAGGGCACCTTCCAGCACATATGGTGGACATGTGAGGAGCTATCGGGCTTCTGGAAAGAAGTCTGGACCACGGTCAATCTGATAGCAGACACGCCCATACCCTACAACCTAGAGGCACTCCTACTACTCCACTTCGAAATACCACACCGTAAATTCAAACATTCCCTCGTTTACTTTATGCTGACAGCGGCAAAAAGCTCGATAGTGAACCACTGGAAATCGGCGATCCCGCCCTCTAAAACAGACTGGTTTCAAAGAATAGAACATTTTCATGAGATGGAGGAACTAAGATGGGGATCGTTAGACAAATATCACAGATACAAAGACATATGGCAACCCTGGAAAGAATTGCTAAGAGGTAAACAGGCCGACTAAACTAATTAACCACCGTACCTACCTAAGAGGGGGGGAAGCTAACCAGGAAAGGGACAAGGAACAAGGTCAGGGGGTGGGACAGAGGGTGCATGGGAGGTCCTCTTCCTCGCCTATGGCACAACAATCTAACTACCTGGGTATAAAAGGATGAACCACAGCGATACCCAGAACGACATACCACAACTCTGGGACGCATGCTATACCGCACACACACACACATAGGAATCAATGACCAAGGCGGCAGGTTTACCGTGACAGATATGAAACCAATGTGTATCCTAGGCCAAATACAATTGTTACTGAGAATGTTATACTTGTATTCAGTGCTGCGATGTTGCGATATTTTATTATTTCTTCTTCTTCTTCTTTCTTTCTTTTTCCTTATAACACTACGTTTTGTGTTATTACAATGTTATAATACAAGGTCTTACCGTACTCCGGAAACATGGAGACATGCACCCAAAAATCCAATAAAAATAAAATATATAAAAAAAAAAAATCATAGTCACATAGTTCAATGAGGGCACTCCATCCAATATAAAACCACTACACACGCACAGGCGGACACACCATATCATTAATAAGGGTCCACGAAATATGTCATGCCTAACTCAAGCGGACCTGCGAGTCCAACGCATGCTACCTATATGTCCCACTAATTCCTAACATTCTTGGAGGCCTGCGCGCCTCACTGTCTGGATTGCTCAATTGTACTGTGAAACTGCTATTCTGAAAACAATAAAAATCACATTTACATAAAAAAATAAATTTCATGTATATATAGTTTACATATTCCAAAGTGTGGAACAATATGTACATAAAACATGCAACTAGTGCTGACTAAACATTCTAGGCAGATGAAAGTAATACACAAGAATGGCTGTGTTCAAGATAAAAAAGAGAAAGTCTGAAGATAATGTCCCAACATGGGTGTACAGACCCAGGCTCTGCCCACAGCCCAAATGAATGAATAACATGAAAAAATAAACTTGTCCAACTCAAGCCTTTGTCTTGTGATCCATTATTTTATGGATTCAAACAAAAAGGAAA